TGAGACCCCGGAGCGCTGCTTGTCGTTTGTTAAGATAGGCGAACCCCCAAGAAGGTGGGCTTCCTTCTGATTTTCCTCAACCAAACACCCGCACGGAAAAGGCACAACAGTTTTGAAACACATGTTAATACTGAACTTCAAAGGTGGTTGGACATGAACCCCCCACCGACTTCTGATTTCAAGGCTGAAACAGCAAAATCGTCCAAGAAACATGTTCGGCAGTCGAAGCATATTCGGGTATTCCTGCAGTTTGCACGTTTACGTCCACAACAGGCATAAGCCCAAACACCCCCGCGCCGACCCAATCCAGTCCCTCACTTTAGGAGGCTTTGCTGCAGTTCGAGTGCCTCGCAGCCCAGCGATCGGCGGAGCTGGCCGAGGCGCGTTGGTGGAAGGGATGGGTTCAGCCGGTGTGCGATTCGCCAAGGGGTACCCACATGCGCCATGGCCAAAGGATGTAAACAAATGCGTGGTAGAGGTGGTCACGCGTTCGTTTGCAGGTGCCACAACCAATAAGGAATCCGGGCAAGGTAGTCATGGTCATGATCATGACCCACGCGAGGAGGTGTGTTGCTATTACACAGCGCATTCTGAAGGAGCGCATGGAGTTGAAGGGCTGGTTATATATTATAAAGTTATAAATTTATTGATGGCAACAGAACTAAAGGGTTCTGTAGATATAAACCCTTCTCAATTCTGTTTTCCTGCCGTCCCTTCCCCCACTTTCATCCTTTCTATCCTTTTCACCACTGCATTTCCTGGCAGCCCGTCCTATCCCTTACGCACCTTCCATCCTAGTCCGCCTCCCAATTACACGCGCAATCACGCACACTTCACCTCTTCGAAGAGCGCCAGGCTCAGCTTACCTTCTTTGTTTTCTTTTTTCCCGTTTTGTTGCGGTTTTCCCTAATTTTCCCATTCAATTATTTTCTGTAATTTTCCATAGCTTTCTCTCGTCTTTTGGCCAGCCATGACCTTTCGTCCATAGCGCTGCGCCAGGCGCAGCTCCGGGAAGAGTGCGCCCAGCTGCGGGCGGAGATCTCCGCGGGCCAAGGCTCCGAGCTGGCGGCCAGCGAGGAGCCCGGGACCCCGAAACCGCCCGAGTCGTGTTTCTTTTTTGGAGGGGGGAGGTAAGGAGCATGTTTTTGGGTGGGGGGGAGGTAAAACATTTTTTTTTTCGGGTGGGGGGGGTAAAAACACTTAGGCTTCCCAAACTGGTGGTTGGCGCCTTCTGCGCTTTTTTACGTTTGACCTCTGAAAAGCGTAGCCTTACCCAGTGGATTGGTGAGGTCGAGGAGAACGGAAGGTCGTGATGCACGGCAGTGGTATTGAACCCTGCCGATTTGGCGGTGAGACTTAATTGGGCATACCCTGCAAAAAGTTCATGAAGTACACACTGGCCGCAATAAAGACACAGAAACCTGTTGGGTACGACTTAGTGACTTGAAAACATCGGCCAATTCCCCAAAAGGAGAACCCCCCTAATTCAAGACCTTGGGGTAAGCAAAAAATAGAACGGGTAAGTATGCAAATAGGGAGGTTGCTTTTGAACCAGCGTGAAACATTTACCCTCAACAAATGCAGGCAAAATGCTTGTTGATTTTTGACAAATGGCAAAACACACCGGGATTTGTAGTTTTCCGTTTTATAGTGGCCCCCCTCGTTTGCGTCCAAATTTGATCCCAGATGTCCCTGGTGTATTCACTTTTTGTGTGTTTCCCGAAAGCTTGAAGGATGCCCCTAAACTCGGCCAGCCCCTATCGTACCAAGGCTTGACATGAACCCCCTCTCCCCTCCCTCCCTCCATTTCCCTCTTTTCTGTTTCTCCTTTTATTTTTTTTCTTTTCCTTCTCTTTCTCATGCTGTTGTTTTTTTCTTCCTTTGCCTCTTTGTCTCTTTGTCCCTTTTGCTCTTTCTCCGTTTCTCCGTTTCTCGTTCGTGTGGGGGTTTGTTATTTGTATCATGTTGTTGTTGTTGTTGTTTTTTTTTTTTTGTGTTTTTTTGTTGCTTTTGTTTGTTAGTTTTTTGTTTGTTTTTTTTTTTTTTGTTTTTTGTTTTTATATTTTTTTGTTTTTTTGATGTTTTTTTGTTTTTTTTTTGATTTTTGATTTCTATTTTTATTTTTTTTGTTTTGTTTTTTGATTTTTGTTGTTCTCTCACTTGGCTGTTGTTTTTTGTTACTTTTTTTCCCTCTCGTTTGGCCACAAATCCCCACGGCCCACAGGTTCCCCCCACTCAGCCGCGGTCCTCCGCCTCCGAGGCTTTCGGAGGCGCAGCACGAGACCCACCGCCTGCGGCGGCGCTTGGAGGCCATGGCCATGGCCAAGCGCACGCTGAAGCGCCGAGTGCAGGCGCGCTCCGGCGCCTTTTGTTTGCTTCCATTATGTTTCCAATATGTGTCATTTTCCCCTGTTGGTTTTGATTTTAAAGGGAATTTATGACTATTGTTTTTGTTTTTTACTTTTGCCAGAGAGCTTAAGCAAATGGAGGTTTGAGCAACTCGTAGGGGGTTGAAAAGCGCTTTGAAAGCAACTCGTTGGTGTTTTCCCCATGACCTGTGGTCTGGGAGGACGGTACAATGTACGGCAGCGGTCTCTTGGAATGTTGATGCGTGCAGGTTGCTTTCAGAGGCAAACGTTTGGTCAGTTGCTGAATCAGACTTGACCGTTGTACCATATGAGGTAATAATGATGATCAGCCCGCTGGGTGGGAGATGTGGTGGGGAAGGGGCAGGTTTGTTCGGCGGAAAAAAAGGGGTGTTTGCGTTTGCGACATGTCGTTTTCTCAGTACTGAGATCAAATTTAGGATGGCGTGTGTGCAAGAACAATGGTCGTTTACAGACGATGTCCGAGACGTACCAAGTGCATGGAATCAGAGGCCTTTTGAGGCTTGGGTTAGCCTTACTCGCTCAGGATTACCGACTTCATTTTCTGTGTTTGGGTGCTTTCATCATTTTAGTCTATGGCAAAACAGTTCTGAGTGGTTTCTCGGCACTAAGCTGGTACTTTGCAAAAAAGGCCATCCAGTGGCCGATGCTGCGAACTCTTTAATGTCCAAAAGCAACAACTTTGTTTAGCTGCACGGGCCACAAAGGATGTTCTGTTTGGGTTTGCCTTCTCTCTTGGCTGTGGATGCGCTTTCCTTTTTTGTGCCAGTTATTTACCCACTCAGCATGGCCACCATGATTTCCCACCCCCGACCATAGGTCCAATGTATGACCGCCTCGGAGCGGCTTGTCAGGCGCTGTGCCAGTGCGACAGCCCGCGGGCGAAGGCGACTGAGGGGCTGGCCCGGTCTCCTGGATGGAATGTGATGGGTTGACCGTAGTTTTCTTAGCATTGAAATGGGATCCAGGTAACGTGTAACACCCAAACGCAGCTGCGTTGTGAGAGATCAAGTGAGCTTTTGTAGAGGGAAAGGTTGCTTCTTAGGTTGCTTATAAAGGTTGCTTCTTAGGTTGTAGAGGGAAAGGTCCCCAATCAGTTTTCTACAGTAACTGGTGTTTATCACAGCTTAGTTTCGCATCCAGTTTAGTGAGATATTGTTGTGCGACCTCGTGTATTTCGTGCGTACCCTTCTTTGGCACACACGTGTGATGGGCCGTTTGTTCGATGGCCGGATTCCGTTGGTTCCTTGTAGTTGGAACAAAAGCAGGCACCCAGGAAGTGTTGTGGATGCCCCAGTCTTTCTGAGTGCTCATGCTGTTTTCCTCACAATCTTGTGGCCCTCATCCACTCATCTTGGATCCACACGCTCATCCAGTGGCGCCCGTTTTCTTTTTTGGGGAAGACAGGCGTCTTTTTATGCCATCCACACCTTGGTATGGTTCTTGAATGAGTTGCTCCGCAGGACGTGGAGCAGGAGCATCAGAGGTGCCGCCAGCTTTGCGAGGAGGCGCGTCTCGTCGCGAAAACCCCAGCAGTTTTCATGTCCCCAAAACGCTTAAACTGTGTGTCCATGTCCTGGCAGGTGAGCTATACTTCCCCAACGCCAGTTTTTCAGCATCCTATACTTAAACTACCCTGCACTGGGGCTGAACCCAACAGGGAAGGCGCAGCAGACAAAGGAGCAGGGCCAACGTTGATTTCTAGGTCTTGTTGGAACAGACATTGGATTTCTCTCTCTGCACTTCTGGGTTGTACTTTGATCTTGAAAGTGGGTCTCCCTCCTTGGTGAGGCGTCCTGATTTGCCGCTTCGTCAAGAGGGTTGTTTAGCAGGCATTTCTTGCAAGTTGGACACCCCCCTAAATGATCGCTCAATGCCAAGGCAATTGACAACATTTACAGGGCTCGCCTTTTTTTCTCTGAGCGCCCAAGTACATTATCATGTAGCCTCTCGATGATGGTGATCGGAGCCGGTCTTGAAACTCTCAAGCTCGTTTCATCATGTGCCCGTGTGCCTTTTGGGTTTCGACCAGACTCATGACCCATGAAAGTCTTTTTCCGGGCGCGCCACTGCTAGGCGGCCGTTGCCATAAACATCAACTCAGAGCTCGAGGCCGGAGCTACACTGCCGATCACTGTGGTCCCTACTTTCAGCTTTGGCTTCGGAACTGGCCAGGAAGCTGGTAGATTTGATCTCCCAATGTTGCAGCACAATCAAATGTCCGTATTCAGCGGTCTTGCTTAGTACTCAAGGGTTTCGCCAAACGCCAGTTGCGCTGGCAAGACAGACAGAGACACAGAAGCCATCCGAACCCCTGTGTTGCCCATCCCGCGTGCCTCCTCAACAAGGAAAAAGCAACCACCACCGTCAACGAACGCCAAGCACCTTTGGAACGTGCAGGGCTCCATTCTGAAACTGTCCGCAGTCCCATACCGGCGAAAACCAGCAAGCAAGCAAGCAAGCAAGCAAGCAAGCAAGCAAGCAAGCAAGCAAGCAAGCAGGCAGGCAGGCAGGCAGGCAGGCAGGCAGGCAGGCAGGCAGGCAGGCAGGCACTACACACACACACGAACGCACACTACACGCGTATGCGTACGCATACACAAACAGAAATACACAAACAGAAATACACACACACACACACACACTTTCACACACTTTCACACACTTTCACACACTTTCACACACTTTCACACACTTTCACACACTTTCACACACTTTCACACACACTTTCACACACTTTCACACACTTTCACACACTTTCACACACTTTCACACACTTTCACACACTTTCACACACTCACACACTTTCACACACTTTCACACACACTTTCACACACTTTCACACACACACACACCCACGCACACACACACACCCACACACCCACACACCCACACACACACACACACCCACCCACGCACGCACGCACGCACGCACGCACGCACCCACACACACACACACATCCACACACACACACGCACATCCACACACACACACACACACACACACACGCGCACACACACACACACGCGCGCACATACACACACACACACACCTACACCTACCCCTACACCTAAACCTACACCTACACCTACACACACACACACACGCACGCACACGCACGCGCACGCGCACGCGCACACGCACACGCACACGCGCACGCGCACGCGCAAACCCGCAAACCCACAAACCCACAAACACACAAACACACAAACACACAAACACACAATCAAGCAATCAAGCAATCAAGCAATCAAACAATCAATCAATCAAGCAATCAAACAATCAAACAATCAAACAATCAAACAATCAAGCAATCAATCAAACAAACAAACAATTAAATAAATAAACAAACAAACGCGTGTGCGTTCGTGCACGCGCGTTCGTGCATGCATGCAGAACACGCACAGTCATAGACACAGGCGCGCACAGCCACATTCGCTCATGCACACACACACACACATGCCGAAGCCCATTTTTCTCTTCATCCAGGTTCGAGGACTCCTGGGCCAGAAATGCAAAGAAGAGTCAGGCCAAAACCACAACAGCACATCGACATCAAACTGACAAAATAGTACAGTGTCAAGAACAACCAAACGAGCAGGGGCTGGAAGCTCCAGACAAAACGCAGGCTCGGCTCTTTGGAATTTACAGCAACCTTGAGAAGTTGTGGTTTCGATACCAGCCTCCCTTTAGCCCCAAAAAGAAAGCCACGCAAGATGTTGCACTCAAGAGAATCCTTGATCTACATGCTCGACCAGCATTGGCGGATTGTGTCATGCCATTGGTGCCATAGGCTGAAACAAGAACCAGCAACCCCAATATGAAAAAACATGAGTATTTCTTTATGGCTTCAACAGTTGGCATGTGTCCAAACCGGGAACCCTTTCCAACGGTCGGTGTTACTTTCACCTTGAAAAGGATGAGGTGTTATGCTGGCTTTTTGCTAGGGCTCACTTCCTTGCTTGCTTGACTGCTTGCTTGCCTGCCTGCCTGCCTGCCTGCCTGCTTGCTTGCTTGGTTGGTTGGTTGGTTGGTTGGTTGGTTGGCTCGCCGGCGTGCTTCCTCGGTTGGTTGGTTCGCATCCCCGCACCCGGACCTAGAGCTGCTTGGTGGCAGTTGAGAGTGCTCAGGTTGGTTTTGGGCAACTGTCTGGCTGCCTGAAATCGTGCGGGTCTTGGGTTGGTGTGGGGTTCATCCAGGTTACGGCTTGACTTTGGCGGGTTTGGGTTGTCTTGGAGCTGAGTCGTGTTAGGTGTGTGCTTGGCTTAGTGGCTTTTGGCTTGCTTTCAATACTTTCGGGTGCGATGTTTTTTTTCTTCGTGAGTTCTGGGCTGGTTTGGGGGGTACCACACCCGAAAAGGGAGTCCTGGGAATTCCGGGAGGAAAACCTGAGGACCCTAGCGCCATTTTGCCAGGCACAGAGGGCGGAGCTGCAGAGCGCCAGTGCGCCGGCCCCAGAGTAACCAACTTATGAAGGGCGGCATGTCCATATGGCTGTGGGTCAAAACCAATGGGATACCATTTTGGGGTAGGTACATCATCACCCATTTTAGAACCTATTTTTAGTTGGGATTTGGATTTTCACTGGGGGTACAGGATTTTGACCCATAGCCATATGGGCCGGAGATGTGGGTTTTGTGAGGGGTACCCGTGCTGTCAAAAAGGAAAGCAATAGGAGAAACCACGGGTTTGGACTACCCTTATAGGTGTCTCTCCCATTTGGGATCCTTCCAGGTAGTTGGTTCCCTTTTGTTTTCCCCTTGAAGAGCATCCGAAAAAGGGGATCCCTCTGAGACAGACCCCTATGTGGACAGCTTCACATCCGGCCCATGAGGTTCTGGGTTGTCACAACACTGGACGCATGGGTTGTTTTCCGAATGGCTTTCTATCAAACCAACATGGAACTTGTTTTGTTTTGGTGTCTTCAGGCCGCAGGATCTTCCATTTGCCTAGAACCCCAAATGAAGATTGCGATTGTCAACATGGACTTGTTGGCAAAACACACGAAATGACCCATTTACTGAAGCCACAGATTTGGGAATGCGTCAAAACTAGTTGAACTTCAGGGACGGCTTGAAATGGACATTAACATTTGGATCCCCGAGGAAGGACCACATCGTTGCCCTTTTCGATTTGTTGATCTGTCTTTTGGGAGTTTTGTTGTCGCCAGGCGTTGTCATTTTCTTGTGCGGCTTCTGAGCGCTTTCCATCGGCCATGAGATAAGCCGATCCTTGAACGATCTTAACCCTTGTTAACCAGCCCGCTGCTAAAACCCATCCCCAACTGTAACTGGTAAACAAGTGCAGCAACTGGTGGCATCCTCAACTGTTTAGAGGGAAGCGGCTGGAGGAAACAAACATATTCGCCCCAGGATCCAATTCAATCAGTGCACTGCTTGCCATGTCGCAGGTAGAAGGAGAGCTCTCGCTGGAGAACCGAGTGGCTCGACCGAAATTAGAGCAACAACATGTGGGGTAGCGGCACTCTGAGCGTTGGTGCAAAATCGCAAGTTACAGATTAACAATACCGGAAATTGAGAAGACCCGTTTTTGTGCGCTGAGCCGTTGCTTGAGGCCGGCGCCTCAAACTAGAATATGTGAGCCCGGGGGAGCCTTTGGCATGTGTCACGCTGGGAGCGCTCGTCTAACCAACTTTTGGGACGGTTCCCTCTGGATTTCCGGCTTGGAGCCTTGAACCTGCCATGAGGAGCTGCGGGAAAAGACGGCAGCCCTCGAAGAGAAGCTGGAATTTGCCCTCGGCCAATCTGCCAGCCTTGTCCCCAGTGTGTTTCTCAACTAGACCCAACATGGGTTGCTTTCGTTGGGCGTTTACGTCCGTTTTGAGAAGCACCCAGTTTTCCCTACCCTAAACATTCCGCAGGGTGGGTGCCAGAAGCATGGTGCCAGAATGGCGATGTCCATGTTAAATATACGAGACCCATTGTTCCTCTTTGCTTCAGCTTCTTTCTTCCCACTGGATTGATCGGGGGGAGGGGGGGTGAGGTCCTGGATGAGTTTACTTAATCACTCCAAGTATTTGGTCCGAGCGATGATGCAAACCACCTGAAGCCAGGGAAGCGAAAGTCATCACGTTGTCGGTGGAGATCCTACAAAAGGTGGATCATTGCTCCGAACCTAAGATGATCAAGCCACAAGGGTGGAAAGCTGCTTCGATTTCAACTTGTTTCATTTCCCCAAGTCCCAAGTTCGCAGCCCGTGCCACGCCCCCACTTCTTGACGCATGCATGCAGGGGGGAGTAGTCGGGAGGCCTTCGAAACATCACGGGAAGCACGGCAAATCTACTCAGTTTGGCGCCATTTCGGATCATGGCACAAAAGTGTGGCCTCAAATTGTGGGCTTCCTTTGACAACTCGACATAGCTCATAGCCCCTAAGTCAGGGAAGCTATCTATTAGAGAGAGATTCGGGCTTTGCAGGAAGGGAACCGGTTTCCATGCACTGCAGCCAAGGGGCAGCTTTTTGCATTTTTTGGACACTTGAACTGGAACATCGCTGGAGACTTCTTATCCTTTCCGCGCACAGCAAACAGGGCCCTTCCGTTATGACCTCCACACCTGTTGGTGGACATGAATCCCTACCTAAAGGATGTCCACCAATGGGTCCCTCATAAAAATGATCACCAGTGATACATGTGTTTTTGTTTCTGCTTGCCAACTTGTGGCATGCCTATGGGGAAGCATAGCGAACTGGCAGGACCATGCGCTGAGCCAAACACGGTTTGCATCCTTGATCCCATGAATTGAACGCCATGTCACTTGAGGCAATTGTCGTCAGTCTGCCAGCAAGACGAATGTCGCTTCGTGGAGGTGATTCACTTGTGCAGAGTCAGCCTTTGAACGGGTGCCGTCTCAGGCTTCCAGCGCCGGATAGCAGAATTGGAGTCTGATTTGGCAGAGAAGCTCGGCTTGAGACGGGGCGCCGCCACCGCTTGATTTGTTTGTCTTTGCTATGTTCGAGATGTTTATCTACTACAACCCCGTTGTTCTGTGGCATGCTTGATGGGTCCCCTACTAATTCAATGGTAGGCGCTGAAAGGGTTCCAATCCTTTCTACATTGGGGGACTGGTGAAAAGGGGAAGCAAGTTCGGCCAGTGAAGGAAGTGCAAAGGTGCAAATAGGAATGCCGCAATAGGAAGCATGTTGTTCCAATTACATACCCAGCAACCTCATTGAAATTCCTTTGCAATTTACTATCCCGGCAGCTGTTCCAAGTAAGGCGAGGATGGGATTCACTGTGAGGTTTGCTGGTGACCCCCACGTGGAGTTTCGATGTGAAGCATTCATGTTGATTCTGAGAAGGCACATCCGCCGCCTGCATTCTTCAAAATCTCGGAGTCAGGTTGGCATTTCCCTTGTTTCATGTTGTTTCACCACAAGCGCATGACAATTAGTTTGCTTGATGCCTTGTGTGTGTGTGTGTGTTTTATTTTCTTGCTTGCCACATGTTGCGTTTCTTGCACATTGCACAGGGACTGTCCAAGATGCGAGTCACTTGCCAAGTGTCATGGCAAGCAAAGCTGGTGAACCTGAGTCACCAAGTGTGTGTGTGTGTGTGTGTGTGTGTGTGTGTCTGTGTGTCTGTGTGTCTGTGTGTCTGTGTGTCTGTGTGTCTGTGTGTCTGTGTGTCTGTGTGTCTGGTGTGTCTGTGTGTCTGTGTGTCTGTGTGTCTGTGTGTCTGTGTGTCTGTGTGTCTGTGTGTCTGTGTGTCTGTGTGTCTGTGTGTCTGTGTGTCTGTGTGTCTGTGTGTCTGTGTGTCTGTGTGTCTGTGTGTCTGTGTGTGTGTGTGTGTGTGTGTGTGTGTGTGTGTGTGTGTGTGTGTGTGTGTGTGTGTGTGTGTGTGTGTGTTGTGCGTGAGTGGTGTGTGTGTGTGTGTGTGTGTGTGTGTGTGTGTGTGTGTTGTGTGTGTGTGTGTGTTGTGTGTGTGTGTGTGTTGTGTGTGTGTGTGTGTGTGTGTGTGTGTCTGTGCCCAAGTGCTTGCATGCATGCTTGCGTGGATGCCTGTGTTTGTTCTTCCGCATGAACCGGTGGGCGCGCGCGGACGGACGGGACGGGACGGGACGGGACGGGACGGGACGGGACGGGACGGGACGGGACGGGACGGGACGGGACGGGACGGGACGGGACGGGACGGGACGGGACCGGGCGGGCCGGGCCGGGCCGGGCCGGGCCCGGGCCGGGCCGGGCCGGGCCGGGCCGGGGCGGGCGGGCGGGTGGGTGGGTGGGTGGGTGGGTGGGTTGTTTTGTGTGGCTGCGTCTCTCTGTGTTTCTGTGTTAGTGTGTTTGTACGTTTGTATGTCTCTGTGTGAGTGGTTGCAAGCCAAAAAAAAGTGGGTGATCATGTGAGGGCCGTCCTAAAACCCCAGTCTTTGAGTTTAATCATCGCCGAACGGGGAGAAGTACAAGTTGTCAAAAAGCTGTGCGCGCGCAAGGAGCGCGCAATTGTGGCCCAAGGGACGCGCAAGGTTACAGTTTTGAAGGGTTTCATGTACTGATGTTGCCTAGCTTCATGAAAGGAGATGATACATTTTCTGCACTTGTGCTTTTCGAATGTTGCTTGGGTCATGTGTAGGTCACAAGCTTGTTTGCAAAGGTGCGGCGGTTTCTTCAGTGAGACGCCAAACGAAGCCAAAGCTTTTGCGGTCATGACGTCAACAATCAGCAACTGACACGACAAATTCCGCGCAAGCCGCGCGCAAATTTCGCGCAAGCACGAGAAGCCCCAGCAAGACATTTGGCCATATGCTGTCTCGGATGTCCTCAGCGGCGCAGTACAAAAGCTCGCAAGCAAGCCAGAGTCACCTGGCCGGCCGTCAGACAGGCAGAAACGCATCGACAACCACCACACACACATTGACATTGACAAATATCCTTAAGCAAGGCAAACAAACAAACAGCCAAGCCAAGCCAAGCCAAGCCAAGCCAAGCCAAGCCAAGCAAGCAAGCAAACAAGCAAGGAAGAAAAACAAAACAAATAGTAAGCAGGCAAGCAATCAACAGGCATACACACCGCACATAGACACATGGGGGGGGTGTCCTATATTCCTTTGCCCGGGATTGGGCCCTTGGGCCGCACTTGCGCGGCACTTGCGCGGACTTGCGCGCGCACAGTGACGCGGCAACTCGCTTTCGTTGATCGCGTGGATTGCGCGCGAGCTTTTCTGAGCAGCGTGTTTGTCGTTGACACAGCAACCCACAACTCCCAGCAATTCTAGGCCAGCAACATACACTTGACCCGAGCTTGGACACGGCCTGAAAGAAGGAAAGTGCATGTTGCGGCTGCCTACGGTTTGTGTGTGTGTTGGCTCTTGTTTGCGTTTGTGAGTGTTGTTGTGGCTGGGAATCTTGCTCAGTGCTCAGACTTGCACAGAGCGCGGGCATTCAGGCCAACATGAAAATCTATCATATATCAAGTTTGTTTGTGTATGGAAACTTTTGGGCACATTGGCAAGTGTGCTTTTTGATCCGCTTTGGATTTGCCTTTGGATTTGCCTTTGGATTTCCCTTTGGATTTCCTTTTGGATTTCCCCTTGGATTCCGGACTTCCCTATTTCCCTTTACATTTCCCTTTAGAACTTCCCTTTGAGTTCCCCGCGTTGGATTGCCCTTTGGTTTTCCCCTTCGGGTTCCTTGTTTTCCAACCACGAACCTGTTTCCGTTGCCTCCATTTTACTTCTGGTCTATTAAAACCCCAAAAGTCAGGTTGGGCTCGAAACAAACAGGGTCCCTCCTCAGTTTTGGGTTGTGCTGTTTCCCAACGACTGCCAAGGACTGTGTTGCAGATGCCGCAGGCCGAGGCGGTGGCGTTCCCAGGGGTATAGGGCGCCTTTTTTTCGGGCTGCCCTTGTCGGGGGGTTGAAATGGAAACAAAGACGCCACCACTCTTGGAGTGCAACACAAAACACATGTCAACACTAGGTCACCTAGGCCTTCCAGAGACGCTCCAGCGGGCCTGCCATATCCCAAAACTCAAAGTCGATGTTCGATGAGCTCCCCGACAAAAAGGTCTCTGGTCAAGGGACCGAACGGCGTTTCACCCATTGGAAAGCAGAACAGAGGCAGGAACTAAACCGAGCAGTTGCCTGCAGCCAAAGAGTTGGTTGCTTTGGTGAGTTGAAGGAAATCACATTAAAAGCACGAAACAAGTTTACCAAGTCTGCAAAACGTGGGGTATGCTCTGAAGGTGCCCTCCCTCCTCCTTGTGGTCCCTTCCAAGTGCGGGGGGAGGGGTCAGATCATCCATGTAGGACCACAATCCATTCCATGCTGTATGCATCTTATATACATGATGATCTATTAGTATGAATCGGTGTTGATAGGATCATTGATGCACCCCAATGCATCTCCTCCCCATGAAATACTTCGGGTAACGGTATTGCTCCTCATGAAGTTCTTGGCAATTACTGCATGTGTCTACACTAACGTCAAACACTTCAAGCGAACCGGCCAGTGTTTGCATCGGGTAGATCACCCGCTGAATCTGAAACGGATCAGCCTCAAATGGTTTTTGGGCGGGGGCCGGGATGCCCTTGCTTGTGGGTCCACGCAACCTTTTGCAGATTTGCAGTTTTCCTCAATCCAACAGATGAAGCAGATTCACGGTGCCAGGAGTGCGAGCTCCTGCGGCAGCAGGTGGCAGAGGCGCTAACGTGTGATTCATCCGGAACCTACGGTCCAGCCGGGTGCAACAAGTTTATTTGTTTTTTTCAGGCTTGCTGTTAAACCAACCATCGCAAAACAATTCCTTGTTGTTTGGCTTCTCTTTTGAAGACTGGAGTATAAGTGCAGCACTCCCGAAGCGTTGGATCCAAGGAGCCAAGCCTGACGGCCTCCCTTGAATCTGTCCGCGGCTTTTTGGGCTGTGGCTTCTTGGGAGAAGACCGCGCAAAACAATGACCCCGCATGTTCAATTCGTATGAAGGAAGTCACAATTGCTGCGGAATTCTATGTTTGGAAGAGGTAGGTATCGTTGGTCGCCTTTTGACTCGCGCAGGAAGGGGATGGTCAGTATTTATCCCTCACCCTTTCAGCAAGAAGCATGGACGTGGACGGTTTCGACTTGATGGGCCATTTGAAGGCACACCAACCCTTGGCCACCCTAGTTTTGGCTTGCCAGGCGGCCGCCACAACTCCGGAGAGCACTATGCGCCAGATGGAGGTGATGGAGGCAGTTTGGGCCGTACGCCGATTTGTTGACCTTCCACTTGCTCACGGCGTTTTCGCTGTTTCTGCTTGGGCCGGATTGTTCGCACCCTGTTGCCCAGTTTGTTTGGTCTTTTTTGTGATAAGCATCGAACCCCAACCATGTTTATTTGTTTCTTCTTGTTTGTGTTTCTGGTCAACTGGGGAGGGGCTCTCGAAATGGGACCCTCGGAAGAACCCCCTGAAAGCAGCGCAAAAGGACGTGAGGTCGAAAAAAAAGGTCCTACCCCGCAAGGCACTTGTGAGAATTGGTCACTGATGGCCTACATTTCACGGGCGCCTTAAGCCAGGAAGCAGACGGAAGTAGCCTTTGAATTCCCGCCGGCTGTTGGTTCATGGCCACATGGTTATTCGGAAGGAAATATGAACATGAAACCTCAAAACTACCCTTTGAAATTGTAAAGCAATCTCCTGTTGGGGGACCCGTTGCGTTGCACATTAACTTGCCGCAGATAAGCTTGAACTTCTAGGTGGACAAGTGAGTTGCGCTGAGACAACGGAATATTGAGGTGACAAACATGTGTGATGTCGATAGAGAATTGCCTGGATGTTTGTTTGCCATGTGCCCAACAACCAGCACGACCGTCCTCAGGAATAATTCAACGGAGTCAACAAGGCATCGCCCAACCCATCAAGTCGTCGATATGTTCGGGAAGCTGCTTGTCTGTCAGAAGTAGAGAAAGAGAGCGCGTTGCTTGACCCCTGGAGGAGTTTGCAACTCAAACACCCCTAGCCACATGAAACCTTCCAGCCGGATTGACAGGAGACAGTTCAATAGCTTCTGCATTTGGGTGCGGCTTCAAGATTAGAGCTCCTTGCGGCATGATGTATTTTCAACTTGCATGGGCCACAATGTTTTGATTCGTTTTTCCAGAGCTCCATTTGGGGGCGGGGGGGAGCAAAACAGTGAATTAGTTTTCGTTTGGAAATCCCGGGTTCCCCAGCTAGGTGCCCCTTTACCATTTTTGGGGGGAGGGTTCCCCTACTAAAATAGACAACAGAAATAATTGGGTACCCTTATGCTAGCCTCTCTACTGGAGGACCTAGTGACAAAGAGGCACGGATACGCCGAGGCTGAGGCGCGGATCTGGCGAGAGGAATGTGAGGAGCTCCGGTGCCAGGTGCGGGAGGCCTCAACGCTGTCGTGGGTTGGTGGCATGGGCGGAAAACCAAGCAATGAGTCAGTGTTTGGTTTCATCGGGTTAAAGGAGTTGATCTTGGTTTCCATGAGGGAAACCAAAAGCCAAGGGAGGTTGTTGAAACTAAATGGAATTCATGATCATCATGGTTTGAACAAGGGGCTGAATCGCCCATGATGACACCACCTTGATGTGTTGCTTTCCTGGCAAACACACTTGCAAACGGGTCAACTGATGGGCAGAAGGAAATGGA